GTGTGCGCTATAATAAAGTTGGAATCCTAAAAGGAATCAATTTATAAACATTCCCAATGACAGTCTTTCACTGACATTATCAGCAATAGCCTTCAACTATTCGTCTACTAGATGTAGTGTAAAGGTGCTATTGGATTTAAATTGATTATTTTCCATATACGTACCATATGTTTGAGAAGATATGAACAAACAGGAATCAAGTTATATTCCTTACTCACATTTTCCTTTCATTCAATGGATTTAATGTTCTGGCAGTCTGTCATATCCTGAATTATTGTAGATTAATTGTATTTGAGGGGGGATCATCATGTTCTGTGGTCTACTTCTTCCATGTTCACAGAATCACAGAATGGTTGAGGTTGGAAGGGTCAACCCGCCTGCTCCAGCAGGGACACCTAGAGCACATGGCACAGGGTGGCGTCCAGGCAGGTTTTGAAGATCTCCAGAGAAGAAGACTCCACAAGCTCTCTGGGCAGCCTGTTCCAGGGCTCTGTCACCCTTATAGTAAAGAAGTTCTTCCTCATATGGAGATGAAACCTCTTGCGTTTCAACTTGTACCCATTGCCCCTTGTACTGTCACTGGCCACCACCGAGTTTGGCCTCATCCTCTTTACATTCTCCCCTCAGGTATTTGTACATGTTGATCAGATCCCCTCTCAATCTTCTCTTCTCTAGGCTAAACAGGCCCAGCTCGCTTAGTCTTTCCTCATAAGATAGATGCTCCAGTCCCTTAATCATCTTCATCGCTCTATGCTGGACCCGCTCCAGAAGTTCCACGTCCCTCTTGTACTGGGGAGCCCAGGACTGCAAACAATACTCCAGGTGCAGCCTCACCAGAGCCAAGTAGAGGGAGCAGGATCACCTCCCTTGACCTGCTAGCAACACTCCTCTTGATGCAGGCCAGGATCCCATTTGCCTTCTTGGCCACAAGGCTACATTGCTGACTCATGGTTAACATGTTGTCAACCAGGACTCCCAAATCCCTCTCCGTGGAGCTGCTTTCCAGCAGGACAACCCCTAATCTGTACTAGTGCCTGGGGTTATTCCTCCCCAGGTGCAGGACCCTGCACTTGTCCTTCTTGAACCTTGTAAGGTTCCTCTCTGCCCAACTCTCCATCCTGTCTAGGTCTCTCTGAATGGCAGCACAGCCCTCGGGAGTGTCGGCCACTCCTCCCAGTTTGGTGCCATCTGCAAACTTGCTGAGGGTGCACTCTGTGCCCTCATCCAAGTCATTGATGAACAAGTTGAAGAGCACTGTCCCAGTACTGACCCTTGCGGGACACCGCTGGCCACAGGCCTCCAACTAGACTCGGCCCCATTTATCATCACCCTCTGGGCTCTGCCATGCAGCCAGTCCTCAATCTACTTCACAGTCCACTCATCCAGTCCACACTTCCTAAGCTGTCCTATGAGGATCTTAATGGAGACTGTGTTGTAAGCCTTGCTGAAGTCAAGGTAGACAACATCCATGGCTCTCCCATTGTCCATCCAGCCGGTCACCTCATCGTAGAAGGCTATATCAGGTTCATCAGACACGACTTCCCCTTGGTGAATCCATGCTGACTACTCCTGATCACCTTCTTTTCCTTGACATGCCTAGAGATGGCCTCTAGGATGAGCTGCTCCATCAGCTTTCCAGGGACGGAGGTGAGGCTGACTGGCCTGTAGTTTCCTGGGTTGAAATAAGCCTTTTGAGCCTTACCTCTCCAGTTAAAATAGAATCAGAGTAGCATAATCGGGTTTGGATATTGGTCAAAATTGGATAAGGCATACAACCTAGCTCAACAAAAGTTACAAAGAGAAATTTGGCATGTACCTTATGCAGAGTTCTCAGTTAATCTGAAATAGGAAATGTATTTTGCTCCTACTTAACTCCTCTTCAAAATCAATGAATGCACAGTAAATGGGAGTGCTTGACTCCAATCCAAAACACTAAAGTTAATGGAGGTATTGTGGAATATTCAAGTACAGCAACTCATTTTTGCTATTTAAACTAAAAACAAACATTATAAATTTAGTTAAGAAAATATTTTGTCTGTGAATTGCTACTGGTGCTGCAGATTTAATTCTGTTATCTTACAGTTTTTCTCTCAAAAGACCCTAATTTATTACTGTTCAAAATTTTTGCTGTAGGGAATCTGTATTGCGAGCGTACTGAGGAGCAGGGTTTCTGTGATGGTGAGCCAAAGATCTTTATTTAGGGTTAAACACAACTTATATAGTTTCCGATCCCGGAGCCACCCTGCCCTGCCTGGGCAGCATGCAGAGCCCAGCAACCCAACCAACAATCAGCGAAGATGATCACCTGCCAACCACGCATGAGGCTGTCCAATGAGCTTCCTGGTCATGCCCTGGCTGCCTGGCTGCAGCTCCCTCTTCTCCTGCACAGCGCCTCCATCTGTCGAGGAGACCTGCCTGTCACCGGCCCCAGGCTGACCCCAACACAGGATCTCTCCTTGAGCAGGGACGCCTCTAAAGGATACTCCTCAGGGTTAATAGATCCTTGCAACAAGAGATCAGTGGTAAGTGACTATACCACGCTGTCTTTATTTGTAAACTTTACAGACATAACTGTGCACAATATTCTTTAGTCATAAACTGTTGATGAGGTCTTGGACTAGCATTGGATCCAGCTGCACCCAGGCTCTTCTCAGAAGCAGTTTAGAAAGCAAGGGGGTCCAGTCTGAACCCCGTGGCTCCTTGGTAATTTGGTGTATAGCTAGTACCACATGCAGTAAATAATAAGTGACCTGGCCATAGAATCCCATTAAAACCATTGTCCATATCCATAAAACTTATTACTACTCCTTCCACAGGAGTGAAGTGCATTGTGTCACTCATGCCCACCACCACTCGTTCCGTGACAGTAGCTAGCAGCCCTCCCTGGGGAGCAGTAGTTGATCTAACTTTGGTTCAACTCCATCAGTGATCTGGGTGAAGGAACAGAAGGCATTCTCAGCAAGTTTACTAATGATTCAAAACTTGGAGGAGTGGCTGAAACAACAGGGAGCTGCGCTGCCATTGAGAGAGACCTCCACAGGCTGGAGAGATGGGCAGAGAGGAAGCTCATGAAGTTCAAAAAAGGGAGGGGCAGAGTCCTGCACCTAGGGAGAAATAACCTCATAGGTGCCAACTGCCTGGAAAAGAGCTCATCATAGAGGGACCTGGGGGTCGTGGTGGACAACAAGCTGGCCATGAGCCAGCAATGTGCTCTTGTGGCCAAGGTGGCTAATGGTATCTAGAAGTGCATTAGGAAGAGTGTTGCCAGCAAGTTGAGGGATCCTCCCCCACTACTCAATTCTGCTGAGGCCGCCTCTGGAATACTGTGTCCAGTTCTAGACTCCCCAGGATAAGAGGGACATGGGACTACTGGAGTAGGGCTATGAAGATGCTGAAGGGACTGGAGCATCTCTCCTATGAGGAAAGGTTGGGAGAGCTGGATCTGTTCAGCCTGGAGAAATAAGACTGAGTGGAGATCTCATCAGCATGCACAAATATCTTAAGAGTGGATGTCAAGAGGATGGGGCGGCGCCCGAGGGTGGCGCCGAGCCGAGCGAGCCGAGGTGGCCACAGAGCCGCTGCCACCGGGCCCTGCCGCCGGCCACGTCTGCCCTGTCCCGTAGTATCACCCCGACCTTATCCCACGTTGGCGGGTCGTACACTGTATGAGTACTTAGATGTAGTTCTTGCTCATGAACCTGTATCACGCGCTGTTTCAAATCAGCCGCCTCTCCCGCATTCTTCTGCTCCTGTGTCATGGAGTTCCCCATCGTTCTCGACTGCTTTACCTCCGCCTTGCAGGAGGCACTTGTGTGTGCACGGCTTCCTTTCAGCCTTTGTTCAGTCGAGCTATGCCCCGGTGTGACAAGTGGGTCTGTCGCCTATCTCTGTCCCTGTTCAAGCGCCATTTGCTGCACCTTGTGAAGGAACGGACTCAGTCCTTCTGTTCCTTCATTAGACATGAACCCGTAGTGCCCAGCCACTTACCTCTTTCCTTTCAGGAGGCTTTTAGTGCATGCACAAAGGACGCTTCCTTTCAGCATGATCATTACACTTCTTTTCAGCGTGAATCCCAGAGTTCAGCTGGGCGGTACAACCGGAGAGACAGCTAGTCTTGGAGGCCCACGCTGGGCACTATTTGTGGGCATATGGAGGAGCAGGGTCTCTGTGATGGTGAGCCAAAAACCTTTATTTAGGGTTAAACACAACTTATATAGTTTCCGATCCCGGAGCCGCCCTGCCCTGCCTGGGCAGCACGCAGAGCCCAGCAATCCAACTAACCAATCAGCGAGATGATCACACGCTGACCACACGTGAGGCCGTTGAGCTGCCGGGTCACGTGCTGGCCGAGTGGCTGCAGCTCCCACCTCTCCTGCTCAGCTCCCCCATCTGCCGAGGAGACACTCCCCATCAACCCCAGGCTGACTACAACACTGTATTAGTCCTTTTATCAGATGTTAATAGAGGTTGCCTCATAATCTGAAATGCATCCTTGAGGTAGAGGGAGGGGAAGGAAGATTGTTGATTTTTCTGGGCTTATCCATGAGTAAGCCAAAATACTTTTTCCTGCACTGTTGAGTAGTTTTATATTTTTGATGCAACCTGCAATGCTAATAGAAATGAGATGAGGCCAGGTCTCTGGCTTCTCATTATATTTCACAATTAGAGGAATATGTTTTAAAATGCTTATCTCGTTTGCATCAAATATGATTTCTTAATCTGTAGTTTTACTTCTGTGATCTCTTTGAGCTACATAGCCACAGCAGATTCTTGCCTTGCATCTGCATATTTCAGTGTTTAAAGGTAAACAGATTTGGTCTCTACAAACATTTCCTACATTGTGACCTAATCACTTTTACTGGTAAACTCAGCTATAGTAGAAAAGATGATTCAGACCTGCTGTGATAAAAGACCTTTTTCAGATTTGCATTCACATTTTAAATGACTTTTAATAATTTTGAATCTGTAAAAATTTGGGTGTTTTTCTTGTTTATATTTAGAGACCTGGCTGCAAGGAACTGCTTGGTGGGTGAAAGCAACATTTTGAAAATAAGTGATTTTGGGATGTCTCGTCAGGAAGATGATGGAGTATATTCATCTTCAGGCTTAAAGCAGATTCCTATCAAATGGACTGCTCCAGAAGCTCTCAACTATGGTAAGAATAGTCCTTTTTCTTCTTCCCATGAAGATATACAGCATAAGATGTGGGAGAATGACACCATGAACAATATTTGAGCATGTGGTTCTTCCTTGTGTCCAGATCAGAACAACAAATGTTTAAAATAGTTTAATATTTCAGCCTCATTTATGTATAAAATACTATTTTCTCTTAGAATAAAGTAGCGACATCAAAACTACTACTGATTTAACAATAAGATATCGCTTTAGTTACACTGCTGATATTGCAATTGACTACCTAGTCAGTCACCTACATCATAATCATTAGTAAAATGAATGTCAAGTTCTGCATAGTTATAGCAGTGATTATCCTAGCATTTTTCTTTGAAAATGTTAGGAAATTTGAATATTCTAGAACACTCATTTAGATAAACCACTGCATGAGAGAAAGATAAGGTCACTGATTTTTTTTTTTAACTGCAGCTTTTCTTAACCTGCATTTTTATATATTGCTATTATCACGGGGAAAAAATACATATTATTTCAGATTGAGGGAAGTGTCCATACTATGTGGGTAGTAGCTTCAGAGCAAAAATAGAAGCTGCCAGATTTTGCTTTTTAGTTGGTAGATGAAACTAGAGAAACAAAGTAAACTTTGAAGCAGCAGCATATTAAATGAATGTCATGTTTTGAATGCAGTTCTCTCAAGCAATTCTTTATTTCAGTTCTTTAAAAAATGCTTAAATGTTTATATTTCTTTAAAACATCTTTTGTTTAAAACCATATGGAAATCATAGCATTTTGACTTATGATTGATGGAAAAAAGTCTTCTGTTCAATAGCACTTTTGCAGCAGTTAATACTTTTGCATAATAATGCCAACCTTTCCTTTCTGCAGAATATATCTTCTACTTTGGGTGTTTATTCCACTATAAAATGTTGCTTTAAATTTTTATTTTCTTTTTTTTTTCAAAAATGCTTACAGTTTTTCTGATATATATAATAGAAATCCACTTCTTCACACCATATGCAGCCCAGTAGAAAAAGGCTTTTGTGACCCAACTTTATTTTGTACTTCTGGATCTTAGCTATTTTCCATATCTTTACAGGAAAGGAAACATTTTTACTCATTTGGTGATTCCTAAAATGCATCCATACCCAGCCAGCTTTTAGTGACCATCTGCAGTGTTTGGAAAATAACCCAAAACATTTGTTAACGGATTCAGCAGTCTAATGTTTAGTTTTAACCGTGCTTTGCAAGTTTTCTGGGTTATTTTTGATGGAACGTTTTTACATTCCCTTGAAATTGCAAGTAAAAATAACTGGTTTGTGTTTTACCATTCTAATTATACAATAATATAAGTATTACGGTAAATTGTGTGGGTAAGGTTCAAAGTAGTCAAGGATACCAGAATAAGGCAGAACTAAATGTGCAGTATCTCAAAACTAAATGACAACCACTGGGCATGTCAATTCTTAATGGCAAAATTTAAGGGTTGAAGAAAAATGAGAGACAGGGTCATTTGGCTATTACATGAATGATGCAGTGCTTAAAGTCAGGGTTTTTTTAAATCACTTTTGTATTTACTTTATATAACAAACTAATAGCAGTCACACACACACACACAAAAAAAAAATACTAAATACAAGTTAGGAATTCAAGAAACCGGATTAAGACAAATGGTTATGGAGCAGTGTCTGAAGTCATGATAACTGATTCCTGGATATCCCTGACTGGATGATAAGCTGCTTGAGCTACAGTGGGTACTGTTCATTGCCATTCCATGCCATTATTTTTATTTGGAACTATACGATTTCCATCGCTCCCAGCAAACAAAGAAACTGCTTTAAAAGAACTTGTAAAATTACATACTTAGGCCTAGTTATTGGGTACTTTTGCTTCCTATTCTCTGAAAATTAAAATACACATATTTAATGCATATGATTTTCCCATTCAACTTCTCAGTTCTTTGTAACATTAATAAATTATTGCATTTATTTGTTTATTTATTTGCTTATTTGCAATTTCTTTTAAACAAAACTCATCACTTTTTATCTTGTATCTACTGAATAACTTTAATGAGAAGTGCTAGGCACACAAACTAATGTAGCACAGATGGAAATGGTATTTAGTTTAAGAGCAAACTTTTTGATGTCAAAACTGTTGTCATAGCACCAACTGTCACTAATTTACATCTAGTTTTTGCTTTTCTCTAGCCTAAGTGAAGAATATTGGTCTTTCAGTGATTAGCTGAAAACCTCTTACAAACAAGAGGATTATAGGGCCATTCTGAAAATGCAGCAGAAGGAGGGGGAAAAAACAGAAGTAGGCTATTTTGGTTTGTTTAATGCTCAGCGATGAACAAACAATGCATTTGGAAGAACATGCATGTTTTTAAGATTAAAGACACTTACAGAATATAACAGAATGTAACAAAGAAATACAGCCATGAAAAGTGATAAAAGAAATACGGTAAATGGATTTTTAAGATAATGTTTTCATAGCTCCTGCTGCAAAGGACTAGGAGTTGTCACTTCAAGATACAGCATCCTTCTTAATGTGAATCCAGTTAGGGATAACAGAAGCATCTCCCCCAAGAGCTGTCCTTCAACCATAATATAAGGCTTTCATTCTGCAGAGAGTTTTGGAATTCAGTTATCTTAATTCTGCCATCTGTCTGAAGCATATTTAAATATAACAGAAACAGTAGGGCAGTTTTTTTTTAACTGATTGTTCACATCATTCTTCAAGGTACAAATTAAACAACAGTTGAAACAGCTATAAAGTAGTTTTATTTTCAGAGAGTATCTTCTCAGAGTAATACGCCCAAGGCCCTCTTTGCAAAAGTATCTTCAGAATTGCAAGAAAGTATCTGCAGAATTGCAAGAAAGCAAGTGTAAACTAGTATACATTTTCCTGTCATTGTATATTAGAAGAAAAAAATGTTTTTGGACAGCAAAAGTCAAAGAAATTCTTAACCTGCATGGAAAATAACCAACCTCATGAGATATTCTCAGCCATGTGCTACTTTCTGTAACAAGTCTGTCCAATAAATTGCAATAAATTGCAGAACTTTGTTAGCTTATTTTATTCTTAGGTTTGCCATTTGAAATGCATGAGACTCTAGTATCTGAAGAATGTTCATTAGGAATTTCAGCTTTCTTCTCTTTAAAGCCTGACAAAATAATACCTCTACAGAAAATGTGCCCATAATTATCTAAAACATGAATTATTCTTAGAAATATTCTGTAAGTTAAGTCTTTGGTTTCTCTCTCCTTAGGGAGATACTCATCTGAGAGTGACATATGGAGCTTTGGAATCCTTTTGTGGGAGACTTTCAGTTTAGGAGTGTGCCCGTACCCTGGAATGACCAACCAACAAGCACGAGAACAAGTGGAGAAAGGTAGTTATTTGCAGGAAGCAAAAGTGATGCTGTACAGGTCCATAGGGATGTTGGTATACACAGTATAAAAATACCAAAGAAATCACATCATAGGTTATCTAGCAACTTCAGCAAAAAATTATTATTTAATTATTAGGTCTAGTCTTTTGGAAGGAGTGATGTGATTTATAGGCTTCTTGCAAGAAGGAAGATACTTACAAGTGACTTACTTAAAGGAGGAAAGTGTTAGAGCATGTTGGCTTTCGCCATTACAGACCTAAAAAGTGAGATGAAAAGGAGGGATTGATTGCTGTGCAAAGCAGAAGCTTGACCAAAATTAGTTAAGAAAATGCTAATGCAAGTGTAAATGTTCCCCAACTGCTAGGGAAAAAAATATATAAGTCCATTTTCTTTTTTAAAGTATTTCAAAGAAATTTTTAACAATTATTGTGGAGATGGGCAAGCTGATTGAGTAGGGAATGTCACAGTTCTCTCTTACAAAATAGTCAGAGGGCTTTAAATAAAGTGGCAAATAACTGTGAACAGGATTTCAGGTCTTTGGTTTCTTTTCATTATCTTTAATGGCATTTTAAAACTGTTCCTCCTCTACATATTACTGTGTAATTCATAAACAAGTTCTAAGTTAGTAAAACTGCTAATGATAAAAAAAAAGCTAGTTTGCTGATTTATATAAAATGTTATTGTTAATTCTAATCACTGCAGACAATCACTGAAATTTGAAGGCCAAAGCAAAATCTGTTTTTTTCTAGAGGAAAGTAGTGTTTATAAGAATGTGTCATACCATCTAAGTACTGATTCTGTATAAATCCAATGAAAAGGATAATCTCTTGGAATTGATACAGTTCAAAAATTTGTAAGTCCTCAGTTACTTATCTGTGGCTTCTGAATGATCAGCTGATAACTTAATTCAGTGATTGTTCATTCACCTGCTCTCCACAAAGTCAGAGACCTCCTTCAGTTGATTGCAGATGATTCATCGTAATGTTCATTATTGATTTCCTCAGTAGGAAAAAGAGGGAGACAGAACCAAAACTTTAGTGGGTCACTACACCCTCAGATTCAGGAAACAAATCTAAGCATGTTGCTGCCCTTAGTGATGATAGAAGCAAATGGGGAATTTACCATAGCCAACTTAAATGTTATTAGTAGCTTAGATTAGTTGACTAATTAGCCAGCTCGAATGGGTAATATATTGAAGACTTTGTTCATATTACAAGTCATGTAAAGTCTACCATCATTTTTTTATGCAATGATCTTGAACTTTCCTTATTTCCTTTTAGATTTGTCAATATGTATTATTTTTCAACACTAAATATTTTTCTCTTTACCAGGATACCGAATGTCATCACCACAAAAGTGTCCAGAAGAAATAT